GCTCCAAGCTTTGGAAGAACAGCAAGCAACAATGACAAACCTTCCACATGCTAGCCACCTCTTTTACTGAGGTCGAGGACGAAAATGCGCCGCAGGTGGAGAAATCAGGCATGAACCTGGGAGTGCTCAAGCAGGAGTGCAGTAGCAAAGTATACAAAGAAGCTAAATGCAAAGTATCTACAAAAGCATAACAGCGAGAAATAGCGAAGTCATCAGCGAGAGCGAGCGCTAGCGCGGTAAGGGAATATACTAGCCAGCTAGCTAACCAAAAAGCTAGACATACAAAAAGCTAGCGAAGTCATCTTTTAGCCCTAAACATTGTTTTCCTCAATCTTGAGTTGAAACGGTCCATGCACAAGAGTCGAAACCGTGAAACATGACTTCCCTAGGCCCCTGTTTTCAGGGCTTGAATCTCAGCACTTTGCAGTCAGTCAAACTAGGATTTGCTTGACAGCATAATGCGTTTGAAACAGTTGAATTCTTCCTCAGTCAACTTGCCAGCATCGTGCCACTCAACGAGGTTCTTCAAGGTGATTCCATTGAGGAATTGACAACCAGGACTGGATCCTTGCATTGGCATGGATGGCGCCAAGGGTTCACATTGGCCAGCATTTGAGACTGCCTGGTAGACATCCATGCAGGTCAGCTGTCCGTAGTTCAAATGCACTCGCAGTGAGCCTGGTTTGTGCCTGGCAAACTTCATGGACATTGGAAGACTCACTCCTTGACCCATCATGCATGTAATGGCAGTAGCTCGTCCACTGTGTGAACGGATCTTTTCAAAGTCGTTCCCAGGATGTTTCTTGGCGAAGGCCTTTGCCAACTTGTTGACTGCAGCCCACACAGCATGATATGTGATCGATTTGCCTTTCTTTTTTTCTTGTTGCTTTCTTGCTGGCGAACACAGACCCTTCACTGGGGATCTTGAATGTGTCTGTGAACATCCAGGAGCCATGTCTGTTTGCACCTTTGCGACTAAAGCTGATTCCTTCATGCTGTAGTTCCTGAAGATATTCGACCTTCTCTTTAGTGATTGGGATGTTGCCCGGGCTTTTTCCAGCACCCTTTGTCTTTCGAACTCGCAGCTGCGGAGGATTTGCCTGGAGCATGAGATCGCTGGTCTTCAATGCGCAGGCCTCACCACATCGAAGTGCAAATAGTCCTGTGAACTCTATCAAAACGGCCATTTGGGTTGTGTGGTTCTCCAGGACAAACTTCACCCAACGATTCCAATCACGTGTTGTCAAAGCAGGGGCTTGACCCATAGCCTTTTTATCTTTTTTTGCTTTTTTGGATGCAGGCTGGAACTTCTTGACCTTCCTCTTCGTCGGCATTGGTTGGAAGCACAGTTCCACGGGGAGTGAGTGATGAGCAATGCTGAGTATGTACTACTAGATACTACTAGCATTATGGCATTTTGTTCATGATCAGCTAGTATCAACTTTGTCTAATTTAAAATTTGATCAACGCTATATCAACTCTGTGTCATTTAAAACTTGATCAGCGATGTTCAGTGTGGATCAGTGTGGATTGATTTTTCCTCTGGCACTGGAGGCCCCTTCCTTGTTCTTGAAATTCGATGCAAGTGTAGAAGCAATGACAGTGTCCCTCCAACTGAAAATCACATCTCTTGAAGTGTACATAAAGTGTACGTGTTCAACACGTCAGAACTCAGCTTGACTTGCAGCTGCTCCATTGGGCTCTGAGTGAGAGCACCGCTCTCACATGGTGACATCCACCAGGATGACACACTTTGAGCACTGCACCTTCACCGGGTGCCAGATTGGGAGTGTCGATGGAGCTCCAGCGGCAGCTCCGACATGGAGTCAGGGCGGCGATGGTGGTGGCGGGTGGAAACGCAAGAACCCGAGCACCAAGCGCAGAGTCCTTTAGTTGCAAGTTTGTTATGTTTAGTTGCATGTTGATGTGTTGTAACTTAATTTAGTCATGTTTCTATTTTGGCATGTTTTACCTAGGTTTGTTTTGTTGCAGGTTCATCAATCATTTGCTTCTGAACTTCAGGACGCTGAACGCGTTCAGAACTGGTTCAAGAAGATGAAGGCCAATGATGATGACAAGAATCAGAACCAGGGTGGCGGCGACGAGGGCAACGACAAGTGGGACCATGATCAGCAGTGGGACAAGGGCGCTGGTGGCCCTGTGATCGAGGTGGATGATTGCCATGATGACTCCGATGGTGCTGGCCCCGGACGCTGCAGCTGGCAGTTCGATGAGTTCAAGCAGAAGAAGGCCGTTGAGATGAAGGACACTGCAGCTGGCAGCTCCTGGGAAGAAGACATCTTGCGTCCCGGGAACTCCTTGCCGAATGTCAATTCGGAGCTGGCCGCCGAGTGGGGGATCTTGATCAGCGGAGCACCACGGAGCTACGACAATGTCATCAAGAAGGACCAGATCTGGAAGATCCTCAACTGCCAGTGCAAGGAGAAGGCTGGCAAGTTGCTGAATGATGCCAGCCCTGGCATGCAGGAGATTGTGCTGCTGGCAAACCCGAACTTCATCCAGCAGACGAAGTACTACTTCAAGGCCGCGGTGTTTCAATCGCTCATGGAGTCTGTGGAGCCCTTCACGCAGCGCAAGACCAAGCCGAAGCGGTGGTTGCTGATTCATTGCAACGGTGGCCGTCATCGGTCACCTGCAACATGGCATCAACATTCATACAGTTTGTGTTTTTTTGTGATGGTTTGTTGATGTTTTTTGCCATCATGCACTGTTTTGGCCATCATGATGTTTCGAGGCGATGGCAGGGGCGGTCATGATCTACTTTGGCCTGATGAGCGTGAGGGAAGCACAGACACGGCTGAACATCGACCCGGCGTTCAACACGTTCCTCAACAATGTCAAGCGGCTGCGTGAGGACAATGGCAACTGAGGCCGGAAGGATCCTTGCTACTAGCAGCGATGTCCTTTGCTCCTAGAGCTTCTTGTTCCTGTTTGGAGGCCGGAGGCCATTTGTTGTTGGAGGCTCAGCTCCGAGGGCCGACCCTTGAAGAGCAGACGAGCCTCGTGGAAGCTCCAGCCGACTGGAAGCAGCTTCGCCACAGCAAGTGGAAAAAGTTGCATGCTTTTTTGATGTTGATGGCGCCTAACTTCTTTGTTCTTTTGTTCTGAATTGTTGAACTTGAGTTTTTTGTCTTTTTACTTGTGATGCATGCAAAGTTTTGTGAACCGCCTTGTTGTGCCTTCATATAAGTTAAACTTACCCACCAAAACTTGGCCAACGCCAAGTTTTGGAGGGCAAGTTCAACTTATATGAAGTTGAACTTAACCGCACCAAAACTTGGAACCCAAGTTTTGGAGTATAAGTTGAACTTGTCTCTCATCTCTGTATGTAGCTGCATGTGGACTTTTGATGCAAGGTCTGCCATGGCCTATGCTGTGCGGAGGCCGAGGCCATTGAATGGGTCTTTCACACGTGCCACATTGTGCTAGTTCACAACCTTGAAGCTTACAAAGAGTTCAATCCGTGCTTCCACCCTTTCTTTGGAAATGTTTGATTGCATTCTCGAGTTCTCAAGTCTGGATGATTGAAGCCCAGATTTGAGCGAGAACTCAATCCGCTTGTTGCCCTGCCATGTTGAGCCCGACATCAACGATGACAGAGCCTTCTAAGAGGGAGCGTGTGGTGCAAGTCATCCGAGAACGCTATTTGGGTTATGGTTTGGAGCAGCAGCTTTTGGATAGAGTCACTTGCATTAGAGTCACAGTCACAGTGACACACCTCCTTTTTCTTCCACAGGGGCATGTGAAAATCACAAAGGAAATCACGCGACATCACGCGACACTTGTTTCCAAGGTTCTCCCGGATCCCTGCGAAGCAATGTCGAAGAGGGTGTGGGAAGTCCGCATGTATGAAGCCAGGCAGCAGCTTAGAGTCAGTCATGCGCAGCGACTCATGAAACTGGAGAAAATCCTGGAGGACCTGGAGGAATGAGGGATCGTGAGGCCTTGTCATCTAATTCATGACTTTTGCCATGGATGTCAGGGTTTGATGCAACCCAAAACTACCTTTTGGCATTAATTATGTACTGCATGGAGGCGGGTGTTGGAAAAGAGATGGCACCATTTTCCCATCGTTCTTATTCAACAGGTTGAAGATTCAAGTCTCATTCTGCGTGAAGCAAACCATTGAATCCACCAGCTCCATGCTAAGACGCCAGATACTCTCAGGACTTACACTTGAAAAATTAGATCTATATCATTTGTTGAAACCTGGCATTGTCCATTGCCAAGCTTCACTCATGATGGAAGTTTGATGCTGATTGTGCTGCCAGATTTCAAAGCCTTATAGTTCGGAACTCATCACTATAGGTCGGTCATCATCTCGCAATGGCGGCAGCACCCAAGAACATTCGAGACTACAAGCTGTGCCTGTCCCTGAAGAAAGACTTGGCCTACCAGATTCTGGCAGGTTCAAAAAACATATGAGAGTCGCATTGCTACTTCATCAGGGACAAAGCTGATGAACCTTCAAGTGGGAGATGTCTTGGCATTTCATTGGTATACCAATGAGAGGGTTGTCCCAGATGCTTCAACGCATTCCCCTTGGGCAGCTGATTCCAGGAGCTCCGGTAACAAGCTTGGATGACGCGACCAAGCAGTATGAAAAGGTCTTGGGGTTCAAAGCTTTGCAGAACAAGGTGATTGTGTTCAAGATCGGTGAGCCTGTGTATCACTCGGGTGTGGCGCCCAAGACCGAGTCCAAGTCTAAGAAGAAGAAGCGGGTTCTCGCAGAGATGGACAAACTGGCCGAGGCAGTTGCATCAATGGACAGCTCAAAGAAGCCCCGTGTGGATGAGAAGTGATTCCGACTAAGGACCAATTTGGGGTGTGCAATATGAGAAATCATGTTGCAGATTTTGTAGGAGGACAAACAGTAGTGTGAGCGCTCAGGAGGAAAAAATGCATCGCCGTGCAGCCATTTTGTCAGGTTCCAAATTGCACTGACCTTAGTTTTGTATTTTTTTGTGTTGCTTCACGTTGCCTCGCCTCAGGACCTCATGTCGGCTCTAAATCCTGTTCCTTTGAAGCCTGATGACCCTAACTTGGCCAGGCATCTAAAGACATGCAAGAAAAAAACCTGAGAATTGTGTTGCATGCAAGCTGGCCAAGACAGGGGAAAAGCTTCTTCGCCACTTGCAGCTCCCTTGGCTGGCATATGTGTGCGAAGATGATGGCTCCAACCTCCAGGCGGGATGTGCAATGTGCCACTGCAGTGGGATCTTCACAAGTGCGTTCGGAATCTTTGAAGTGCAGCCATCCCAATTGAAGATTTCATCTTTGAAGAGGCATGAACAATCTGATTGCCATTTGCAAGCTTGGAAGTCGGCAGCACAGAAATCAGGAATATTGCCATCACCACAGGTTGAGGACACTGTGGACGCCCCTTCCTATGAGGTCTTCAAAGATGCACTGAAGCGTCGTTTGGATGGATTGGCGTGCCAAGCTTCTTTGCCTCAACATGGAATAGGGCCTGACAAACTTCGACAAGTGTCTTTCTGCCTTGCTGAGGCCAAACATATGTTGACCAGGACCTGGCTGATGGACCATGCAGTGACAATTGCATTACAACAAGATGAGAGACATCAACGTTTGCTGCTCAGATTTACAGCAGCTTCCAAGACTATGGAGAGAAGATCCGGTGTGATTGGTTTGGCCAAAAAATTTTGGCAGTGCAGCTGGATCCATCAGCCAAGCCACAGAGCGGATCATCCGTGAGTTTTGCACTCCAGGGTGTTTGGCTCCTGGTCTTGGCCAAAAAGAGTTTCAACTTTGTGAGACTTTGTTGGAAACCATACGCTTGAAGACAGAAGTGGTTACCGCTGACAATGCTGGCAATGAACAGAAAGCAACAGAGCTGCTCCGAGGCAGATGTGGGATTGATGGAGACCGTTTTTGCCCAATATCCGCTTGGGGCTGAGGGACCATGCTCACGCGAGCCGCCGAGTCATCAAGCGGCCTTTTGAAGCCGACCCAGTCCTGTCTGATATCATGACAAGTGTGTTTTTTGGGAAAGGATGCAATTGTGCCGACCATAGAAAATTCTTACCTGGCAAAGAACCGACTTGAACATCACTGCAGTAACATCCCCACTGCTACAAAAAACCATCATCCGTTCAATGTCATTGGCAAGGCAAAGGTATGATTCAACGCAGAAACCAATTGGCAGATTCTGCCTCTACCTAATCCCACTGCTGACGACAGCCATCGAGATGTCTCGTGAGAAAAAGGGGGAAGATGCAGGGGCCCGTGCAAGTGCCTTCTTAGCGTTTTGTACAGAAGAAACACTACTCACGATATCCATGATTGCCGATGCTGGAGATGAGGGGTCACAGCTTTGCCGATCTTTTGACAGAGAGCTGCCAGCATCAGAGGACCTGGCAAACGAGATTGCCACCTTCATCACCAGGATTAGCCACTTGTTTGCCCTCGATGAGCCTGTGTGTGCGCTGACGGGCTACACACATCACATGATCACTCTTTTGAGTGAGCGTGAGATTTTGTTGCCAACGCTGGATGGCAAGAGTGTTAGAAGCTTGGGAGGACCAGGCTCCATTACTGCGGAACTGGTGGTGCAATGCTTGAAGAGGATGCAAACATGGGTGCGTTTAGCAAAGATGGTGATCCAACATAAGTTCCCAGAGTGGGACTTAGTCTCTGCCTTCCAGCTGTTCAATGTCACAGGTGGCAAGAAATTGTTGTCCACCCAAACACAGGAGACTCATATCAATCGGATTTCAAAATTCTTCGACTTGGATGTGATGCAGTTTCGCACGCAGTTTTATGATTTGGCAGCTTTGGCCAGGGTCCATGCTCAAAATGCCAGCTGTGATTCCTTCAGCGCATGGCAGGCCATCATCAAGCAAGTCCTATCCTCCAAGAAACGGAGAGATCAACATCCCTGTGATGCTGTGCAAGTTGCATTGAGTCGATGGGCAGCCTGGAGTCCGTCTTCCAGTGGCGTTGAGCAGAGCTTTGGTCATTTGACCCACTTTGCAACAGCGCGGCAGTCCCATGCCTCAGAAGCTTGCGAATACAATGAGGCAGTCCTCCTGCTGGATCACTGTGAAGATTTAGAAGAGCAGCAAATTGCATTGGCGAGAAAGGCGCGGCTAGTCTTTGTTGACCAACATTTGACATAGTGACAAAAAGGTTTCCAAAATGCATTTACTTTGCTGTGACTGTTTGATGTCCTGTCCTGACAGGTGTGGGCACAGATCTACCCCTCGCCACGTACTCACAAGAAGCCACGACTTGACAAGGGGATATCTCGATCAAGCTCACCATTGTCGCAGTCACTGATGACTGAAACCACATGGATCCGGAACCGTCGTAAGGACGTGGATGATCACGTCAGTGCAAGGCACAGTGATGAGATTCTTGACGATGATGGCACTGACTCTTGCTGGGGGGAACACCCATGAGAAGGAGGCAAAACTTCAAGCAGAAGGAAGGTTGAAAAGAAAAGTGCAAGCCTTGCGAGATGGAGTTTTGTTGCCATCTGAGGCTGACCAAGAACTTGAGGACTACATCCAGCGCATGAAAGTGCCCCTGGCTGCCAATCAACTCACGACGAAGGAAAAGAACAAGAACATATTGTATGCAGGCCCTAAGAAACCATCTTTCCTTGACGAGGACACTGGTGGCAGGCATGTGATGGCATTTGTGCGCCAAGGTGCTGGCACTGCTGCCCAAAAGGCAAGAGACCTTGGCATGCAAATCGTTCACGATCCAGGCTTGGCCAACATCATCCTTGCAAAGTCTTTCAAGTCAATTCCAGAGATTGTCCTTTTGTGCGCTGTTCTTCGCGGTTGCTACATCATGGACGCGGCTGCCCTTGATGGTTGCGCTCGATCGCTTTGTTGCAAACTTTGTCCGACCACGCAGCTCAAGCGCAAAGTTTGGGTCAGTGCTGACTTCAAGGAGGACCATGCTGTTGTCAGTAACGACAATGTCATGTCAGTGTTTTTTCAAAACATGCCATGTGTAGTTTTAATAGTTTGCAGACCTGAAGTGTTTGCAAAATGTTCGATCTTCACTCGCACATCCAAATCTCAAGAGTCAATCATTTTCCTGATTTTCAAATGGTGTGCTAGCAGGAGAACAACGCGATTTACACCATGTTGCGACATGTTGTGGATGAGTGCACCATCAAGCCTGGGTGGCACTGGCTGGACTCTGTTGACGAGTGCTTGCAGGGCAGAGGTGTCAAGTTCATGGCTTTAGTCACACAAGAGCAACAGCGCCAGGAGGCCAGCCTGATTCTGATGGATGCGAGGAAAGATCAATGAGCCAATCAAAATCCAATTTACGTGTAGACTTTGACCTGTAAACTGACTTTGTATCATTATCAATGTTGAGTCATGACTTCTTGCCATGGCCTGGCAGGTGATGAAGCTTGCCTCCAAGAAGATTAGTGTTTGGACCAAAGATGAATTATTGAGAGGGTTGACAACCGTAGACCCTCGAATGTCCTTTTTGGCATGAGGAATATCGCTTTGGGGGGGGCAGAACCAGCCAAAATGGTTGGGTTCTGAAGGGGTAGCTGCAACTTGTTGCAAAAAAAGTGACATATCTTTGCAATCACTGTCATCGTTGTTCAGGTCCTTTTTTTAAAATACAAAGGTGATTCAGTGAATCATGGCTCTCTACGCTCGTGAGCGCTAGCGAACCATGGCTCTCAACGCTCGTGAGCGCTAGTGAACCATGGCTCTCAACACTCGTGAGCACTAGTGAACCATGGCTCTCAACACTCGTGAGCGCTTGTGACTGTTGAGAACTTGGGACTGTTGAGAGGACTGGGTCAAATTGACCTACCCCTCTCAACACGCACAAGCGCTTGTGACTGTTGAGAACCTACCCCCCTAGTCAGCAGCGCGTTACAAGTAACCTGTCACTACGCAGGGTCGCCTTAAGGAACGCACATTTTAACAACTAGGTTCTCAACAGTCACAAGCGCTTGTGCGTGTTGAGAGGACTGGGTCAAATGGGGTGGGTCAATTTGACCCAGTCCTCTCAACAGCCCCAGCTATTTTGTGACCCTTCTCAACAGTCACAAGCGCTCACGAGCGTTGAGAGGGTGTTGTGACCCACTCCTCTCAACAGTCACAAGCGCTCACGAGCGTTGAGAGGGTGT